CACACACAAAACTAGAGCATGCATATGTATATTTGTCATGTCACTGATCGTTATGTTTCAGAACATGTTTGTATATATAACTATCCTGTATATGGCCAAAACATGTGGATATATTTGTTCCAAGCAGCTAAAAGTTATATAGTCAAAATATGGATGTGGTCATTCTGTAACTAAACTGTGTATATGTTCAATGTAGCTTATTTTTCTACGATCAAAACACTTATAAAAGCTGTCTTGCTGGGCTGTCTATAAAATAATAATATACTAAATCTGTCCCACGTAACTGATCTTACTAATGTCAAAACATACTTGTGCATTTGTTCAATGTTACTCGTATTTCTTCAACTAGAATATGACACGTGTCTTGGACATAACACACACATCTCCGATCAGTTTAACTTAACATGTCAGGGACGTCACACGCTCACCCAAATCGTGCGTTAACTAGCTACATTGACGATAAGTACGCTGACCGTCTCTATTAACAGGGGCTGCTTACAGTCTCTGTTAACAGGGGCTGCTTACAGTCTTTGTTAACAGGGGCTGGTTACAGTCTGTTAACAGGGGCTGCTTACAGTCTTTGTTAACAGGGGCTGCTTACAGTTTCTGTTAACAGGGGCTGCTTACAGTCTGTTAACAGTGGCTGCTTACAGTCTCTGTTAACAGGGGCTGCGTACAGTCTCTGTTAACAGGGGCTGCGTACAGTCTCTGTTAACAGGGGCTGCGTACAGTCTCTGTTAACAGGCTGCTTACAGTCTGTATTAACAGGGGTGACTAACGGAACCAGTGTGCACAATACTGTGACTGGTCACGAGGCTATGACACGTTCATCAATAAAATACTGCTATTTATCTTTTTTTTTAGATTCGCAAAGAACTTGATAATCACCGTAACGATGTCTGGGTAACGCTGTTTACGCGCTAGAATAGAGTGAAGAATTACAAAACGAAATCCTTGATGTAGTCTATCATTATATTTGATATAATAATCATAATAATAATAATAATAATTAAAAAATCACGAGCTACACGTTTCCGTTGTGTTGTAGAGCTGCAAGACTTTTCAAGTATTTAGGTGACTAATGCTGGTGAAAAGCTCTTGATTCAAGGAGTGAGAGCTCCCCTTTCTTGGGTCAAGCTTGATTACTTCGTCTTCGCTATGGGCTGCGTAACCCATACGAGTTTAGCGGTTTTCCATAATTCAAAACATTCTACTTAACGCCACATGAGAAACTGTCAAAATACAGGAAATTACTGGTTAAATTTTGAAATGGATAAAGGAATGACTGGAAATAAATGGTCACATGCCTTTCTAACCAACTCTGAATATATGGAAAAAAATAGAAAAAATCCGCACGTAGGAGGATACTGGACAAATATCTTCAACAAATGTCAGATCAACCAGGCTGTGATGAATATATGGGTCAGCGAACCACCAGCAGCAACAGCCTAACTGACGAAGAAAGCACCAAATGAGCCTGGCTTAAGTCCGGGCCCTGGGAGTAGAAAATCTCTTGAAACTCATCAAAGGTATATTAAAAGAAGTAGACTAAAACTGGAATCAACGCCACGGTGTGACCCGGACCATCAAGTAGTCACACTAGTGACCCGGACCATCAAGTAGTCACACTAGTGACCCGGACCATCAAGTAGTCACACTAGTGACCCGGACCATCAAGTAGTCACACTAGTGACCCGAACCATCAGGTAGTCACACTAGTGACCCGAACCATCAGGTAGTCACACTAGTGACCCGGACCATCAGGTAGTCACACTAGTGACCCGGACCATCAGGTAGTCACACTAGTGACCCGGACCATCAGGTAGTCACACTAGTGACCCGGACCATCAGGTAGTCACACTAGTGACCCGGACCATCAGGTAGTCACACTAGTGACCCGGACCATCAGGTAGTCACACTAGTGACCCGGACCATCAAGTAGTCCCACTAGTGACCCGGACCATCAGGTAGTCACACTAGTGACCCGGACCATCAGGTAGTCACACTAGTGACCCGGACCATCAGGTAGTCACACTAGTGACCCGGACCATCAGGTAGTCACACTAGTGACCCGGACCATCAAGTAGTCACACTAGTGACCCGGACCATCAAGTAGTTACACTAGTGACCCGGACCATCAAGTAGTCACACTAGTGACCCGGACCATCAAGTAGTCCCACTAGTGACCCGGACCATCAAGTAGTCACACTAGTGACCCGGACCATCAAGTAGTCACACTAGTGACCCGGACCATCAAGTAGTCACACTAGTGACCCGGACCATCAGGTAGTCACACTAGTGACCCGGACCATCAAGTAGTCACACTAGTGACCCGGACCATCAGGTAGTCACACTAGTGACCCGGACCATCAGGTAGTCACACTAGTGACCCGGACCATCAAGTAGTCACACTAGTGACCCGGACCATCAGGTAGTCACACTAGTGACCCGGACCATCAGGTAGTCACACTAGTGACCCGGACCATCAAGTAGTCACACTAGTGACCCGGACCATCAGGTAGTCACACTAGTGACCCGGACCATCAGGTAGTCACACTAGTGACAAGCGGCTGAGTGTCAGTCTGCTACGTGAAGGTTATTTGTGTATTGTTCCAGTCACTGTATTGTGCCTTTTTTATTCTTTATAAGAAAAAGGCTTCTTAACCTGGCAAAACCGGGTCCTGCCCCGAGTACTGACGTAAAAAAATCCATTCTGGAGCATAGTTTCTGATATACATCATTGACACTGAAGACAACACCACGAACTAATATAACACAGAGACGTAACTTCCATACATGATGATCTACTCTAATTTCACAGATGTTTAAAGGATGCTGTATGCAGTACAGTGTAGAAAAATATTAGACTCAACTTGCATATCATTGCTGTAATGTTAAAAACAGTCTTACTTTCTATAATTAAAGTCAATGAACTTGTTTGAAAACTGACCACCAGTCCCTGGGAACAAGACGGAGACCAGTCGTAAACACGACAGTAAAAAAAATCACAGGAATAATGAAGCAACGCTTAAACCTCCGTACTTCCTGTCCAAACAGTAACAGAGATTAATATTGTGACGAAAGAAAATAATTCTTTAGTCTGAATGAAATGAGGTGAAAAAGACAGTAGTGGAAGAGATACGGAGGAAATAACGTCAGCTAATTGAAGGTTAAGGAGTGGGACAGAGAGCCGAGTCTTCATCTTTGCAAACACAACTTAATGAGGTAAAGACACGTGTACAGTTCAGGACATTTATTAAAGGAAGCGTTTCGTCACGAGTGACTTCTTCAGTCTTAAAGTGCTATCATAGTAGCCTTCACAAGAACCAGGTGAGAACGACAGGACTCAACACTGAGTTACAGCGGGACCACACTGTATGAGTAACCATCCAGCATGATGAGTATGTGAGGTTAATATTGTTCTTGCTCTAACTACATTATGCCAATTAGATCAAGGTAGTTACCTAATGCCTATATACTATTTTTGTGCAAAGATTATCTGGCAGTGAAAATCGTCTTTCAGATTATGACATTTGGCAAAGCCAACCATGATTTACTATTATCCGAGACACACTAACCCACCCGTCCCCATTTCTTACACTAATCTATCCTGACCCTTGATTCAAGATCCCTACTGGCCCAAGATGGATGTAGCACCGACGGACGTTCACACAGTAGAGGGCAAGACGGTGACCTTGACCTGCCGTGCCTCAAGTCAGGTGCAACCCGTAATCACCTGGACCAAAAATGACCTCCCCTTGACTTCTGACCGCTACCAGATCACCCACGATGGAGACCTTGTTCTCAGGTTCCTCAAGGGTTGTTTGTGTTTTGTTGTGCCCACAGTGTTCTACGGTGACACTGTAGCCTATGCCACTATAACATACCTTACATCCCTATAGCTCCATCATACAACCCTATACACAATCACAGCATCATCTTAGTAAACCATACCCCCGGCCGGGATTGAACCCGCGGTCATAGAGTCTCAAAACTCCAGCCCGTCGCGCTAGCCACTAGACCAGCTAGCCACAATAAGATTCATCCAACTAGGTATATTTCTACACCATAGGAAAGTTAGCACAGGCACCTCTGTGACCACAAATGCAAGTTTTTACAGACGAATCTCCAGCTAGCGTGGCCGTGACGAACTCTAGCTCAAGTCCCTTCACTGCCGTCAACATGACTATGACCGCGGGTTCAATCCCGGCCGGGGGTATGGTTTATTTGCAATCGTGTCATTACGATTTCTTAAATCATCTTAGTATTTCTATACAACGCCATGATATCCCCATACAACAGCATGACATTGAGTTATCATAGCCCCATATTGTAAGATCACCATAATGCTACCATACCATCACTATAACACTGCAATACCACAATCATATATAATCACCGTTGTACATTACCGCGAAGTGTTGAGGCAGCCATTGCGTACCGAGATTATTCTGTGTAAATACTGAAATTTCTCAAGACACTGATAAGTTACAGTGACAAAAGAAAGTTAATGAATCTATAAAGTGTGAAAACAGTTCAATAGACAACGTACAGTGAGCATAAATATAATCTGTACAAAACGGAAAACAACAGTGCCAACACGAATATTTATTTTAAATCTGCTGGCCACTGAGATTGTAGTCAAACATTATTTACTAACAATATCACGCGACTGTTTTCATTTGTTAAAAATTAATACAAGACCAGAAATGTAAACATAAACAACTATCATATTTGTAAACAAAATATGTGCAAATCCAGATTAAGTGAAACAAATCATTAAATCATTCACACTTGATTCTGGCATCACGGTGCCATTGTTGATCAGAAGTCACACACGACGCCGGGTTCACTTTCTTGCAAGGTTCTCTCCACCGCCGCCGGATTAGGTGCCAAAAATGTCCACGCTATGTTACCTACAATTTACGAGCATTAAAGAGCAATAATGCATTTAATTCACAAAAGTAAACTAATTAGTAAAAATCATATCCCTTTAACAAATAAACTCTAGAAACAGGCTTGGTGAGTTTCTAATATCACAGAACCCAAGTGTTTAAGTATTTTTTAATATGAACTAAATAAATAAATTCGGAACGTGGTGTTTAGGTAACAATTGTAGGCAGAGAGAAACACGGCAGTAAAATAGTAGATTTTTCCCTTGGAAACAGAGTAACGTAGAAAAAATGCGATCATAGTACCTAAGTTCAATGCTTTGTGCTATTTTAAGAAAAAATAAAGGCATAAAATGTGAAACATACAAGCAGGCTTCCATATAATTTGTTCTGGAATATACAAGCAGGCTTCCATATAATTTGTTCTGGAATATACAAGCAGGCTTCCATATAATTTGTTCTGGAATATACAAGCAGGCTTCCATATAATTTGTTCTGGAATATACAAGCAGGCTTCCATATAACTTCTGGAATATACAAGCAGGCTTCCATATAACTTCTGGAATATACAAGCAGGCTTCCATATAACTTCTGGAATATACAAGCAGGCTTCCATATAACTTCTGGAATATACAAGCAGGCTTCCATATAATTTCTGGAATATACAAGCAGGCTTCCATATAACTTCTGGAATATACAAGCAGGCTTCCATATAATTTCTGGAATATACAAGCAGGCTTCCATATAACTTCTGGAATATACAAGCAGGCTTCCATATAACTTCTGGAATATACAAGCAGGTTTCCATATAACTTCTGGAATATACAAGCAGGCTTCCATATAACTTCTGGAATATACAAGCAGGCTTCCATATAACTTCTGGAATATACAAGCAGGCTTCCATATAATTTCTGGAATATACAAGCAGGCTTCCATATAACTTCTGGAATATACAAGCAGGCTTCCATATAATTTCTGGAATATACAAGCAGGCTTCCATATAACTTCTGGAATATACAAGCAGGCTTCCATATAACTTCTGGAATATACAAGCAGGTTTCCATACAGCTGTTCTGGAATATACAAGCAGGTTTCCATATAACTTGTTCTAGAATATATAAGCAGGCTTGTTCTGGAATATGAACAATGGCCTTTGGGAGGGAGACTGCCAATGTGTGTGCTCGTAAGATAAACAAATTTGGACCAACATGATAAGTGATTTGATAAATATGTCCCACTAGACCGAAATAACTTTCTCTGAAAAAATTCCAATCATATATAGAGCGTGGGAAAAGAACAAAGAATTGGCACAGATAAATGAAAATTGTGAAGGTGTTCCGTAGCTCAATTGCTAGCGTACTCAGCTCACAACTAGGTCCGGCTCACAACTAGGTCCGGCTCACAACTAGGTCCGGCTCACAACTAGGTCCGGGTGAAGATCCAGGGTACGGCTGGAAACATTAGGACGTGTTTCCATAAGGCTGTCCATGTTTACCTATCAGTAAAATAGGTACCTAGGTGCCAGCCGACTGTTGTGTCTTGCATCCTGTGACAAAATGACCTAATTTACTCGAAATGTTCTGCTAGGCCTGTATACCTCGTCTATGTACATGTAGAGCTAAAGATATTGTTATTATTATTATTATTATTATTATTATTATTATTATTATTAAGTTGTATCGGGTCTTCAGAAAAATGACTATAATTATTACATATATTTTCCCTTTCATCTCGTGTTATATTATATTGCTGATGTTTTCGTTAATAATTAAACGAAAATATGATGATTTATGTTATTAGACGCCTTATTTTTTAAATTACGTGCATAGGTAGGACACAACAAGGTGCTGAAAAAGAAAAATCGTCATAACAAAAGTGAAGTCAAAGTGGATATGATTAACGTAACGAGAGAAGCGAAAATAGAAATTGGAATGAAAAGATACAACTAGAAAATGAAATACCAGGACAAGAGGAACACACAGAGGAAAATAATCAAAACTCAGTAAAAATGAAACGGTAATCTCTGGATATGTGTGTAATCCCGAAGTAAGGTGTGTAAAAGCTCACAGATGGGGAAGACTCCAATAGCACAAGAAAAATAAAATGTCAGTATTATAACAAGGGAATATGCAGATGCAGAGAAAAATGTAATTACCCCTATCCAGAGCAATACCTCAACGTGTTAAGAAGAGGCAATGTTGCTTTGAAGAATGAAGTGATTGATTCTATTTTGAAATATGTAAAAGTTAACTTGAGAAAAAATGACTGTGACCCAGACTGTCCATTTCTTCGTGTAAGGAAGAAATAAATTAACGTCCGTACCTTATAAAAAATAACTATGGATGTGCATTTATTTTGGGCGTAAAGACTAACAAAGACAAGAGAGAGAAAAAAGATAGGAACAAGAGACTAACATCAATATGTGGAGAGACAGCAGGTGAAACAGAAGAAATACAAACTGGAACTTCGCAATGCCTCACATCAGTATACACCAAAATATCTCCAGATACCACCAAAGGTACACTGCAACAACACCTCCATAACATCACCATACACCATCATAGCATCAGCAAGCACCATCATTGCACCACTATACACCTCTTTAGCATCTCAGTACTGATACAGCTTAGCCTAGTATAAACCTTAGTAATACATACCCACAAATTGGTCTAATAAGATACTTGAGTCAACGCTAGGACATAATTAATTGAAAACGTTTCGAGCCTGGGACCTTGATCAAGGTCCCAGGTCCGAAACACTTTCTATTAAATATGTTTTAGTGTTTGCTTACGCGTCTTTCTGAAACAACTTGGCCTCTCTGGAAGGATAACTGTCCAATTGTCGTCCCTCAAGAACTCAAGGTAAACAAGGGTAGTAAACTCTTGTGTTCCCGAGTACATTGAACCAGCAAGAGTTTTTCTGGGGAATTAAATTATATAATATCAAGCGAGGAATACTGTTATAAATCATAGAATATCCAACACACTAAACTTTTTAAATTTAAGAGTACTTCAGCTAATCAAAATTAAGCAAGCTAAGCAGGCTTAAAGCAAAACTAAATCCTATTATATTTTAGTTGTAATGGGGTTAACCATGAGCTCCAGTGAACAGCTAGTATTATGAGACTTGAGAATTTTGCCCACTTTTTTCATGGTAAAACCCTCCATTCTCATATTATCCCCGAGATAATCCAATCTGAGTGATTCTGCTTTACCACTGTTGTGCACCAGTGCTGTGAGTGTGAGTGACACGGGGCATTACGTGTGTAGTGCTGTTAATCCCTACGGCAGTGTGGAGAGCGGTGCCCAGCTCAGGGTAGAGGAAACCACCAGGATCATCAGGGCGCCCAGAGACCGTGTCCGAGGCAGGGGCGAGGCTGCTGTCTTCAGGTTAGTGCAAACCTCATTTCTCTGCGCAAGAAAGCGGTTAATGTCTCGAAGAGCAACATTTTGAAAAATATTTTCATTTCCTCAGGCAGGCCAGTGGAAACTATTTTCAAGGAGCAGGCTGGCTCATGGCACCTTTGAGTTATTATTATTATGTGAGTAAATTACCTGCATGAGGTTTACAGGGTATTACATGAATTATTACTGGTAAGTAATTTGGGTGAGATAAGTGGGACATAAGCCACAGTAGGTCGCAGGTCTGGAACTCCCTCGATGCTCACTTCTTCACCACTCTCACAAAAAGCTAGACCTAGGTGTTCCACCACTCTTCTCTTGATAATCTTCTCCATGACTTTGCATATTATACATGTCAGTGACACTGGTCTTTAGTTTTAATGCTTTATGTCTGTCTCTTTTTAAAATTTGGGACTACATTTGCTCTCTTCCACACCTCAAGTAGTCGCCCTGTTTAGATAGATATGTTGAAGACTGTTGTTAGTGGTACACATATGCTTCTGCTCCCTCTCTCAGAACCCATGGAGAGATGTTATCCGGTCCCATTGCCTTTGAGGTAGCAGCCTCTTGACTTCTTCCTCAGTTGTATGTAATGTGTCCAACATCTGATGGTGTACCCCACCCCTCCATTTTCCTGGAGTCCCTTCTGTCTCCTCTGTTTACACTTCTTTGAATCTAATGTTGAGTTCATCACATACTTAACGGTCGTTTCATGCGATCTTCCCTCCTTCCTTCCTGAGCCTGATTACCTGGTCCTCGACTGTTTTCCTCCTGATGTGGCTGTACAACAGCTTTAGGTCAGATCTGGCTTTCGCTGCTATGTTATTTTTGTATTGTCGCTGGGCGTCCCTTCTTACCTGTGCATATTCATTTTTGGCTCTACGACTGCTCTCCTTACTATCCTGATTCCTTTGCCTTCTATGCTTCTTCCATTCTCTAGCACACTTGGTTTTGGCCTCTCTACACATTTGAGTGAACCAAGAACTCATCCTGGCTTTCTCGTTATTTCTGTTACCCTTGGGTACAAACCTCTTCTCAGCTTCCTTTATATTGTCACATATTCCATCATCTCACTTCCCTGCCAGTTCTCTGTCCCACTGAATCCCGTGTAGGAAATTCGTCATGCCTGTGTAGTCCCATCTCTTGTTGTTTGGCATCATTTGTCCTGCCCTTCCTGCTTCCTTCTCCACTTGTAACTCTATGTATTCGAAGCTCAGACCCACATGGTCACTGGCGCCGAGAGGTCTTTCATATGTTTTTTATCTTTTTTTTATTAGCACACTGGCCGATTCCCACCAAGGCAGGGTGGCCCGAAAAAGAAAAACTTTCACCATCATTCACTCCATCACTGTCATGCCAGAAGGGTGCTTTACACTACAGTTTTTAAACTGCAACATTAACACCCCTCCTTCAGAGTGCAGGCACTGTACTCCCATCTCCAGGACTTAAGTCCGGCCTGCCGGTTTCCCTGAATCTCTTCATAAATGTTACTTTGCTCGCACGCCAACAGCACGTCAAGTACTAAAAACCATTTGTCTCCATTCACTCCTATCAAACACGCTCACGCATGCCTGCTGGAAGTCCAAGCCCCTAGCACACAAAACCTCCTTTACCCCCCTCCCTCCAACCTTTCCTAGGCCGACCCCTACCCCACCTTCCTTCCACTACAGACTGATACACTCTTGAAGGTCATTCCGTTTCGCTCCATTCTCTCTACATGTCCGAACCACCTCAACAACCCTTCCTCAGCCCTCTGGACAACAATTCTGGCAATCCCGCACCTCCTCCTAACTTCCAAACTACGAATTTTCTGCATTATATTCACACCACACATTGCCCTCAGACATGACATCTCCACTGCCTCCAGCCTTCTCCTCGCTGCAACATTCATCACCCATGCTTCACACCCATATAAGAGCGTTGGTAAAACTATACTCTCATACATTCCCCTCTTTGCCTCCAAGGACAAAGTTCTTTGTCTCCACAGACTCCTAAGTGCACCGCTCACCCTTTTCCCCTCATCAATTCTATGATTCACCTCATCTTTCATAGACCCATCCGCTGACACGTCCACTCCCAAATATCTGAATACATTCACCTCCTCCATACTCTCTCCCTCCAATCTGATATCCAATCTTTCATCACCTAATCTTTTGTTATCCTCATAACCTTACTCTTTCCTGTATTCACTTTTAATTTTCTTCTTTTACATACCCTACCAAATTCATCCACCAACCTAAGCAAAGAGCAACTGTGACAACTCCCACTTTATGTGTGATTCTTTATCTTTTAACTCCACGCCTCTTGCCAAGACCCTCACATTTACTTCTCTTACAACCCCATCTATAAATATATTAAACAACCACGGTGAAACCACACATCCTTGTCTAAGGCCTACTTTTACTGGGAAATAATTTCCCTCTTTCCTACATACTCTAACTTGAGGTTCACTATCCTCGTAAAAACTCTTCACTGCTTTCAGTAACCTACCTACTATACCATACACCTGCAACATCTGCCACATTGCTCCCCTATCCACCCTGTCACACGCCTTTTCCAAATCCATAAATGCCACTAAAGCTTCTTTAGCCTTATCTAAATACTGCTCACTTATATGTTTCACTGTAAACACCTGGTCCACACACCCCCTACCTTTCCTAAAGCCTCCTTGTTCATCTGCTATCCTATTCTCCATCTTACTCTTAATTCTTTCAATGATAACTCTACCATACACATTACCAGGTATACTCAACAGACTTATCCCCCTATAATTTTTGCACTCTCTTTTGTCCCCTTTGCCTTTATACAAAGGAACTATGCATGCTCTCTGCCAATCCCTAGGTACCTTACCCTCTTCCATACATTTATTAAATAATAGCACCAAGCACTCCAAAACTGTATCCCCACCTGCTTTTAACATTTCTATCTTTATCCCATCAATCCCAGCTGCCTTACCCCCTTTCATTTTACCTACTGCCTCACGAACTTCCCCACACTCACAACTGACTCTTCCTCACTCCTACAAGATGTTATTCCTCCTTGCCCTATACATGAAATCACAGCTTCCTTATCTTCGTCAACATTTAACAATTCCTCAAAATATTCCCTCCATCTTCCCAAAACCTCTAACTCTCCATTTAATAACTCTCCTCTCCTATTTTTAACTGACAAATCCATTTGTTCTCTAGGCTTCCTCAACTTGTTAATCTCACTCCAAAACTTTTTCTTATTTTCAACAAAATTTGTTGATAACATCTCACCCACTCTCTCATTTGCTCTCTTTTTACATTGCTTCACCACTCTCTTAACCGCTCTCTTTTTCTTCGTATACTCTTCCCTCCTTGCATCACTTCTACTTTGTAAAAACTTCTCATATGCTAACTTTTTCTCCCTTACTACATTCTTTACACCATTCCACCAATCGCTCCTCTTCCCTCCTGCACCCACTTTCCTGTAACCACAAACTTCTGCTGAACACTCTAACACTACATTTTTAAACCTACCCCATACCTCTTCGACCCCATTGTCTATGCTCTCATTAGCCCATCTATCCTCCAATAGCTGTTTATATCTTACCCTAACTGCCTCCTCGTTTAGTTTATAAACCTTCACCTCTCTCTTCCCTGATGCTCCTATTCTCCTTGTATCCCATCTAACTTTTACTCTCAGTGTAGCTACAACTAAAAAGTGATCTGATATATCTGTGGCCCCTCTATAAACATGTACATCCTGAAGTCTACTCGACAGTCTTTTATCTACTAATACATAATCCAACAAACTACTGTCATTTCGCCCTACATCATATCTTGTATACTTATTTATCTTCTTTTTTTAAAATATGTATTACCTATAACCAAACCCCTTTCTATACAAAGTTCAATCAAAGGGTTCCCATTATCATTTACACCTCACCCCAAACTTACCTACCACACCCTCTCTAAAAGTTTCTCCTACTTTAGCATTCAGGTCTCCTACCACAATTACATCATATGTGATGTCCTCAATATCTGCACTACTCAAGGTGAAAACTAGGTCCAGTCTTGCTAGTTCTCTATCTCCTCTCTCTTTGGTAGTGTCCTTTGTGTGTTCGTACATGAGGTTTTCCAGTGCCATCTCCATCATCTTAGCCTTCCATGTTTCTGGGTTTCTGGGCCCCCATTGGGCTCCAGGTTCTCCCAGTTAATTACCTTGTAATTGAAGTCACCCACAGTCAGCATCTCTGCCCTGCCCGCATGAGCCCTTCTGGCCACTTCAGCCAGTGTGTCAACCATCGCTCTGTTACTCTCATCATACTCTTGTCTTGGTCTCCTGCTGTTCTTTGGTGGGTTATTCATCACTGCAATTACCACCTTGGGACCTCCAGACTGAATTGTTCCTATTATGCAGTCTCTTGATTCTCTGTCTCCTCTCTCCAGCTCATTAAAATCCTATTGGTTTTTGATAAGCAGTGCCACTCTTCCCTCTGCCCTTCCTCAGGATCCGATATACCGTTGGAAAGATGACATCTGTTATCATTTCTGTTAGCTTGGTTTCTGTGAGAGCTATGGTGTCCGGTGATGCCTCTTTGTGGCGTGTGTGGCGTGTGTACTAACTTATTTGTGGTTACTGGGGTCGAGTCACAGCTGCTCGCCCTCTTCACTGGTCGCTACTAGGTCACTCTCCCTGCTCCATGAGCTTTATCATACCTCTTCTTAAAGTTATGTATGGATCCTGCCTCTACCACATCACTTGCCAGACTATTCCACTCCCTGATAAATCTATGACTGAAGAAATACTTCCTAACATCCCTGTGACTCATCTGAGTCTTCAACTTCTAATTGTAACCCCTTGTTGCTGTGTCCCATCTCTGGAACATCCTGTCCTCTGTGTGTGTACTCACCTATTTGTGGTTGCAGGGGTCGAGTCATAGCTCTTGGTCCCGCCTCTTCACTGATCACTACTAGGTCTTCTCTCCCCCTTCTCCATGAGTTTCATCAAACCTCGTCTTAAAACTATGTATGGTTCTTGCCTCCACTACGTCACTTTCTAGGCTATTCCACTTTCTGACAACTCTATGACTGAAGAAATACTTCCTAACATCCCTTTGACTCATCGGAGTCTTAACTTCCAACTGTGTGTGTGTGTGTGTGTGTGTGTGTGTGTGTGTGTGTGTGTGTGTGCGGGCGCGCGTGTGTGTGGGTGTGGGTGTGGGTGTGTGTGCGTGTGCGTGTGCGTGTGTGTGTGTGAGGAAGAATGCACTATAATTGAACAAGTATTTTCCAAACTTCACTATCCTCGTCACTTCATCAGAGACTGCAGACGACGGGCATTAAACATCTTCAACACACCCAGAGAAGACACTGCCGAGAAGAGATACATAGTCCTCCCCACCAACTCCATTGCCAAACACGTTTCCAACATCTTTTCCAATACCTCATTCCAAGTATCTACCTCCACAACCACGACCATCAAGGACATTACCAGTAATAGACATGACAAGCTTCCATCCTCTGCAAGGGTATACATATTCCCTTGTAATGACTGCAGCAAATTATACGTGGGCGAAACATCCAGAGACCTCCAAACATGTATTTCAGAACACCAATACGCAAGCAGGTCTGACGATCCAAGGAATGCCTGTGTACAACACCGTAATTCACGCAACCATTTAATAAACTACAGAAACTCAAGACTTATCGCCACAAAAGACAACACTCAATACTGAAGAATCCTAGAATCATCGCTTATCTCTATAACCAACAACTTCAACCAGAACAATGGCTTCTATAACATAGCTGAACCACTTGCCAAGAAACTTCTTCATCGCTATCCCACATAAGAACATAGGAATGAAGGAAAACTGCAGAAGGTCTACTCACATACTTATCCAATCTCCCTTCCAAGCTAACCAAGATTTTAAACTCTATAACCCCACCCGGTAGATCATCAGATGCAGCATTCTCCACCTGACCTCAACATTCTGAACCTGACTATAAATACTCGCGTACCTTCCACCCCAGGTAGATCTGTTTGTGACTTGAAAAAACCTACTGTGTGGGCGAAACGTTGTCAATAAAGGATCACATACCGCATGAGTTTATTTTTCCAGTGTGTGTGTGTGTGTATGTGTGTGTGTGTGTGTGTACATATGTACATACATACTTATTTAGCATTTAATTGTATTCTTATACCTCCTATATGTTGTGTGTTATTAATAATTGCATAATTATATATTGATATGATGAAGTTTTCTTGTTCCGTGAGTCACTTCCTAGAGAGACATGATAACAGTCCTTATCGTTATATTTAATATTTTTCTTGATCACCCGTAAGGTGTAGCTACTGAGAGTAGTAATAATAACTAGATGTACTTTGGTCACTGCGCGATCCGAGAAAGGTATCCTCATATTACATAATCCCAGTCCCCTGTACCTCAGTGCATGCAAAAGGATTAGTACAGAGTGCAGCATAAGTTTCTAGTGCAGGTAAGTATTAGCAGTGAAAAAAAAATTAAATCAGATTTAGCATTCTCAAGTTATCATCACATGGGCACTAATATCCCATTTTTTCAGTAGAAATGTCAAATTAAGGCATGTGCAGCCCTAAACTAATTTAAAACTTCTATGAAAAACCAGCTTTGAACTCAAACTGAAGAAGAATTCTCTTATATTCTCAGAGGGACAAATATTTTAAAATATATCAGCACATTTAAGTGGCACGTCAGTTCCTTTGCTGATAATGTTAATTTTCCCCTTTAATCTTCCGTGTCCACAATTACTATCGCAATCGTTTTGTCTGCTTTCGTAAAGTCTAGTCTAGGATCTTTCCTTAATTCTTGGTATAACTTAACAAATCTTTGAGGACAATCGTGTTGCAGCACGAACATCTGCAACACAAGTTTCCTCAAAGATTTAAGTGATATGAATTAAGGAAAGATCCTAGACTTCACCTTGCGAAACAGACAAAGCAAATGGGATAGTAATTATGGACAAGGTAGTTTATAGCTGAAAAATAAACACATTAGGAGACAGATATAAATGTTGAAGAGGCTTTCTTTCTCAAGTTATCGCACGGAAACGAAATCCGGGAATAGTCTACATACCTTTGTCGACAAGGTACATGTCAGTAGTTGCACGAACTTTGCCCTAGTTATAGTATACCAGTGATAAAAAAATTGAAGCCAATCGGATAAGGTATTCTCAAGTTATGAACGTAATCTCTGAAAGAAAAGAAAATCTTGACACCAATAAAGTTATCATGATAAACAATTTGTGCAGGACGATATTTTTATTATTTTTATTGACATTATTATAATTATTATTAGTAGTAGTAGCAATCAAAGAAAGCGCAAAACTTGGAGGCATCATTCAACGCTGCAATCTTGTTATATTTCCCCAGTGAGTATGATGAGTGAAGAATAGCAATACTGTCACTCATCCTTGTCTTCTCTGCTCTTCATGTAGTATTTTTACAAGAGACGTCGATTTATTTTAAAGTGCTGCATAAAATGTTGTATCTCTGCTTGTGCTTCTAAATGTGACGTCTCTATTTTAATCTGTTCTTTTATCTGCACATAAAACTGTACTTTTAGTTACTATTTTTAACTACATTTGGAATGTTTAGTGATGAAATTTCTTTTCTGTCTTATAATTGCCTCATTTATGCTGTAGTCTGGCTTTTATAATCTACATTTATCAACCATAACTTTATTTTCATTCTATCACTATTTACTGCCTGTTTAATTTGAAGTTACATTATCACTTTCTTATGTGTGCTCATCACAGGTGCAAAGTAGCCGTTGATAGCGACTTGGAGCTGAATGTCAATTGGCTGGTGAACGGAGTACTCGTTGACTACGACAAGAACCCCAGACTATTGAGACAACCCAAGAATGGCCTAACGGTGAGCCTGGTAACTGAGGATGACGCTGGGGTTTACACCTGCGTGGCCTCCACACCCCTGGATAGCGTCAACGCTAGTGCTACGCTCACCGTCAGAGGTAAACACCTCGGTCATGTTTGGTGTAGAGGCAGAGCTCATAGCAATCACATCATTCGGTTAGATATTACACTAAATTATTTCAGTTGAAAGGAAGTATTCAGAAATTACAAAGGAGTGCTTGCACTAACAAATCATTAAAGCCACACACGCACGCTAACTTTCTCTTCCTTGGAGCTAACGTGATAGTCTTACATTCCTCCTGGCGTTGTATAATCCCCCTACCAGTTTAACTTTCCCATTAATATAATAAGAAGATACACAAAAAGGAATACAGGACCAACTACAGTTGAGGACGAGTGTTGCACAATGTATACATGACAGTTAAGTCTCTGACTGATGAGTCCTGCTAAAAGAGGACGTCCAAACACATCCGTTTCATGCTTTTCTTATGTTTTAAAAAATATTAAATTATATAGAATGTAATTATTTATTAATGTAATTAATATAACGTGATTTTAAGGAATGTTTCGACGTTTGTAATAATTTTGCTTAATGTTTGGTAAAAATTTGTTATTATAGAATAAGAGTGTGTAATCGTGCACAAGTTGGTCCTGTGGGAAGCTGACGGACACATCTCTTACCAAAGAAATACCAGTTTAGAAGAAAAAGTCACAGTAGCGTTGGTGGAACAATAGGCAAATAACCTGCACTTAGGAGAGGAAACTTAAGACGACGTTTCGGTCAGTTCGGGATCATTGTTCAGTCACAAACTGACAGTGATCTTGGACGCACCGAAACGTCGTTCATAGCTTTCCTCTCTGAAGTGCAAGTTTTCTGTATATAAATATCAATTTGTTCGGTTGGTTTATTAAGTTTAATTCCTGTTGTATACACGAGGGTAATCAACTATACATTACTTGTCAAGAATATTTTAAAATGCCAGATAAACGCTTACTGGTATAAATACAAATGTATACGGATCATAAGTGCATTGTACAATCTATTCTTCAATTAAAGTTTTAAACGCATTGTGTCTTTCAAACATTTCCGAGCGCTCGAAATTGACCGGCAATTTAAATATTTGTTATTCTCGGTTAGCTTAGTTTAGGTCTGGTAAGCCCACCATTTATTAACTTTTAAGTAAAATTACCAGACAATAGCAAAATTAAAGAGAAATGTGCGGGTTATGTCTGGCAGCGCGAGGCTTACCACGACATTAGAAACCTGCAGTTTCTCACGAACGGTAAAAATCTGGAGAATGAGTCGCACGGTGATGCAAAAGTCTGCCATGACAGCCTTTGCCTGTTCATTATCAAGAATGTACGTGTCCCAGGCATCAACACACCTCACATCTTTGTGCCTGGGGTAAATGCAAACTAACATGTGGATCTTCTGTATTAAAGCATTCTGAGAGTTGCAGTGCACCATGAATCAGGGACGGCGAAGCTGGCAAGCAGGAAGAGTGCAAAATGATAACACACAACTTCACGGTGAGCCCAGAGGACTTGCTTGACAACTGGGAACCATTTAAGTTCTCACATAGTATTATTTCAACGGCAGACCTACTCCAGAACCACTACTCCAGCACCACTACTGCTACAGCAAACACCACTCCTCCAGCAAAACTACTACTCCAGCAGCACCACTGCTACTCAGCACCATCGGTATATTATAATAATAATTATTATTACTATCACGGTGTTCATGGGAAGCGTGAATTATACAGCACTTGTTGGGATGGCAAGGATTCAGGTTTGGTCCAAGGGTGTACAGGCTCAATGTTTTGGATCAAGAACCTCTCGCCCTTCAAAGGAGCCCACTAATAAATAACGTGATTGTCGAAGCATGAACCGAACCAATGGTCAAGAAAGTTAGTCTAGGTCATTATTGGAAACAAGTACTCAAGGGCTCCTATCCATTGTCTGCAAAAGTGTAACTTTAGTACCACTAAAGAAAAGCAAAGCAAAGCAAGAGCCAAGCCTTCCTGACCACAGACACATCTAAACTGCAACCCAGGACAGACTACAACCGCAGGACAGACTACACCCGAACATGAAAGGGAATGAGGAGTCTCCTTCGACCAGCAGCCCAGGATAACCCAAGAAAGTCGGTGCGTCATCGAGAACTGACTGTCTTATTTCAATTATTTTCCTTCAGTCTTGTCCCCCAGGATACGACCCACAACAGTCGACTAACACCCAGTTACCTACTTACTGTTATTTGAACGTGGACAGCCCAACATTTCTACCTGGTCGGGGATTGAACAACGGACACTCAATGTGTGAGGCGAGAGCGTTGCCAACTGAGCCACGGGTTGACAGGAATGTACTGAACATGATGGCAGCACAGGCTTAGCTCCTCGCAGTAGATCATGAATTTAAACCATACCCCCGGCCGGGATTGAACCCGCGGTCATAGAGTCTCAAAACTCCAGCCCGTCGCGTTAGCCACTAGACCAGCTAGCCACAATAAGATTCATCCAACTAGGTATATTTCTACACCATAGGAAAGTTAGCACAGGCACCTCTGTGACCACAAATGCAAGTTTTTACAGACGAATCTCCAGCTAGCGTGGCCGTGACGAACTCTAGCTCAAGTCCCTTCACTGCCGTCAACATGACTCAAGAAATCGTAATGGAGATTCGTCTGTAAAAACTTGCATTTGTGGTCACAGAGGTGCCTGTGCTAACTTTCCTATGGTGTAGAAATATACCTAGTTGGATGAATCTTATTGTGGCTAGCTGGTCTAGTGGCTAACGCGACGGGCTGGAGTTTTGAGACTCTATGACCGCGGGTTCAATCCCGGCCGGGGGTATGGTTTATTTGCAATCGTGTCATTACGATTTCTTGAGTCATCATGAATTTCATAGAGAAGATCTAATCCTATAGAAATCACACAGCGCCTGGGAATAGGGAAAGGCGGTTGAATCAGGTTTGATCTGAGGAAGGGGAGGGCAGCTTCAGTTCATTGACTCAAGAGCACTTTAAAAACATCAAGTCACTCCCCTTGAGGGGGGGATGGGGTCCTCACAGCAGAAATCTAGGAACAAAAAATCGAAAGAGAAACTAACAGGGAAGTTTCAGATTTTCCCAGAGCGAAACTCAGTTCCAAGGTAAAAGTTCTCATTGTTTGGAAGACAGAGGATATACTGTACTAATAAATTTATTTTTTACTTATGTAGTTGCATTTAATTATATAAACTAATTCCATTTTAACTTTACTAAGCCTCTCCTCCACACCTGTCACCACCCAGGAGCAGGGAAGTCATCAAAGCCCGTGCCCATACCGGATGTCAGAGTGCCCCCAGCCCGACACGATAGTCCGTGCCCACCACCCTATAACAGAATTAAAGATACACTTTGTATCCTTCAAGTGACAGACCAGAAAATGAACTGGAGAGACGCTCGTGAATACTGCAGGTGTGTGTGTGTGTGTGTGTGTGTGTGTGTGTGTGTGTGTGTGTGTGTGTGAAAAATCACCTGTCTGTCCATCTCTCTCCATCTGTTCGTACAGTTACAGTCTCGGTCTATTTTCTTTTTGTGTACTTTTTCGTACATCATAAACTAATTGTTTTATATTTCAGAGTACAAAATAAGTGTTACCTCAGTGTAAATATGACTACAAGCAGGTTTATTATTAGGTAATTATAGTTTAGGTAAATTAAATAATTTAGTCAGCAGTGCTTTGAAAGATTTACATAAGAACATAAGAACACGAGAATGGAGGAACACTGCAGTAGGCCTGTTGGCCCATACTGGGCATATACTTCACAAATCCAACCCGCTAATAGAATATGATGCTTTTGTTATCACTCTAACGCATCCCCAACAACCTTTAAGAACATAACATAAGAAAGAAGGAACTCTGCAGCAGGCCTACTGACCCATGCGGAGCAGGTCCATGTCCCACCCCCCCGGATTAGCCCAATGACCCTCCCAGTCTGGTCACCACCACTCAAGGAAGGAGCACGGCACCAGACCCAGCAGCACAAGCTAGTCAGGTCCAACCACACCCACCCACACCAACTCATGTATTTATCTAACCTATTTTTAAAACTACACAACGTTTTAGCCTCAATAACTGTACTCTGGAGTTTGTTCCACTCATCCACAACTCTATTACCAAACCAGTGCTTTCCTATATCCTTCCTGAATCTGAATTTTTCCAGCTTGAAACCATTGCTGCGAGTCCTGTCTTGGCTGGAAATTTTCAGCACGCTATTTACATCCCCTTTATTTATTCCTGTTTTCCATTTATACACCTCGATCATATCAACCCTAATTCTACACCTTTCGAGAGAGTGCAGATTCAGGGCCCTCAGTCTATCCTCATAGGGAATTATTATTATTATTATTATAAGTCCTCATAGGGAAGATTTCTGATACATGGGATCATCTTTGTCATCCTCCTCCGTACGTTTTCCAGAGCATTTATGTCCATTCTGTAATACGGTGACCAGAACTGAGCAGCATAGTCTAAATGAGGCCTAACCAAGGACATATAGAGTTGAAGAACAACCTGAGGACTTTTATTATTTATACTTCTAGATATGAAGCCAAGAATTCTGTTAGCTTTATTGCGAACACTAATGCACTGTTGTCTTGGTTTTAGATTACTACTAACCAGAACTCCTAAATCCTTTTCGCAATCAGTAGTATTAAGATCTACATTTAGTTTATATGTGGCATGGTTATTTACCTGTCCAACATTTATAACTTTGCATTTGTCAATATTAAACTGCATCTGCCACTTCTCCGACCATTGCATCAGTCTATTCAAATCATCCTGGAGTGCTCTAGTGTCATTAGAATGAATTGGACGGCCTATTTTGGTGTCATCAGCAAATTTGCTTATGTCGCTATTTATTCCCTCATCTATGTCGTTTATGTAAATTGTGAACAACAACGGGCCCAACACTGACCCCTGAGGAACACCGCTTGTGACGTGCCCTCATTCTGATTTCTCCCCATTTATGCAAACTTCTGCTGCCTATTTGTCAGCCATGCCTCTACGCAGGAAAAAATTTCTCCTCCTATTCCGTGTGCCTTAAGTTTCCTCAATAGCCTCTGATGTGGAACTCTATCGAAAGCCTTACTGGAGTCCATATACACAATATCATATTCATTACCATGATCTACCTCCTCAAACACCTTAGTGAAAAAAGTTAATAAATTCGTAAGACAGGAACTCCTCTTTGTAAAACCGTGTTGAGATTCATTAATCAATCTGTGCCTATCAAGATGGCTACGAATTGCTTCGGCAATTATTGATTCCATAAATTTTCCCCACTATGGAGGTAAGGCTTATTGGTCTATAGTTCAAAGCCAAGGACCTGTCACCTGCTTTGTAAATAGGTATTACATTTGCCATTTTCCACTTATCAGGCACTATTCCAGTTTGTAGTGATATGTTAAAAAGATTAGCCAAAGGTATGCTAAGTTCTTCTTTACATTCCTTTAACACCCTTGCAAACAGTTCATCAGGACCTGGGGATTTGTTAGGTTTTAGTTTCTCTATTTGTCTAAGTACCATGTCACTAGTTACTGCAATCGTGCATAGTTTATTATCGTCCTGTTCTACATAGTCTATTATTTCAGGAATATCGCTAGTATTTTCCTGGGTGAAAACTGAGAGGAAGTAAGTATTGAGAATTTCACACATATCCTCATCACTGTCAGTGATCTGACCAGAGTTACTCTTAAGTGGACCAATCTTGTCCCTTATCTTACTTCTGTATACCTGAAAGAACCCTTTTGGGTTAGTCTTTGAATCCCTTGCGACCTTAGCCTCATAATCCCTTTTTGCTTTTCTTATTCCTTTCTTTATTTTTTTTCTTTAATTGAATATATTGATTTCTTAACTGTCCACCCCCTCTTTTGATACGCCTATGTATGCCTCTCTTTTGACCAATGAGGTGTTTTAATCTATTGTTCATCCATTAATCTATTGTTCCTCAGTAGTCACCTTGACTTGCTACCCAAACATCAGTTGAGCTATCCATCCTAATCATGACTAAATACCCACTAACCACTAGTAATTTCCACTTCCCCCAGGAAGCTAATCAGTCATCTTGCCCGTATTTTGTGCTTAGCTACCCATTCTCAGCTGAGTAGGATATCCATTTTTTTTATCTAATTTTTTAACCACCTGTAAAGTATATTACTGCTCCACAGCCTAATTACAAAACCAACTGCAACATTTTAACCACCTTTGATAGTTAAACACTCATCAAAACAGCATTATCCTTTCCTAACTCAAGTGCCTAAATTACCTTCAACCTCGGTAAAATAAATCTATCGTGCAGGAGCGAGGGCGGAGACCTGGCCTGGGAAACCGACAACATCGTTCTGAGGACCTTCTTGGAGGAGCTTTATGGCCTTGGTGGTGTTTCATGTACGTGTCCTCAGTATTTTCCAGCAATCCTAAACAAGCCTGGGTCTTAAGCATGAAGATGTTAACTTTGTGGGGATTTTGTTTCTTTTCGAGGTTTAAGATAATGCATGTCTACCACTAAAATCTAGATGACTATGTGATTATATCTCTGTATTATAGTGTATTGCCTTTCCACTTCTATTCCTTCTCAGGTGTAAACGTAGTCTTTAAATCTTATTTTATGATACTAAGGTCGTAATCTTAACAGTTAATGCCTTACTATCATGCAGTTTACGAGGCTTGAATTATCCAGTAATATTAAGGTGGGTGATAGCCAAAAGATTAGAGGCACACAATTTGTCTAGAGACCAGGCCCCAATGAGGTTCCCTATCGAGTTTATTTCTTTTTTTCAGGGACGCAATGGCCGTTCTGGGTGGGTGGGAGAGAACATCGAGAAAGTACTAGTGAAAGTGATAACAATGACAATCTCCGCAAAGGAGGAAGTACTGCCAGTGGCAAAGGAGGCACAATGGAACCGGAAACAAAGGAGGTGCAGGGAGAGGCAGTAATAAAGGAGGTGGCAGCAACAGAGTGTGGCGGTGGGTGGATGCAACACGGGTGTCAGCTGAAGGTGTGTGGGCGCCTGGACAGCCACGACATTACAGGCTCGCGGATTCCCCGGACGGTGTCTGTATGATCCTGGACGGATACGTGGGATACCGCTCCACGGCACTACCCTGTCACCTCAGACGACGCTTCCTTTGTCGACCTCTCGTCCAATGAGTTTATCACCGTCTACCTTTAACTAAGCTTAAAGGTCCTAAAAAATTAAGTATGAGAGTTCCTAGCGATGTGTTATAATATAATGTAAGACCAACTTAAATTTTCTCATTTTAAAACCAATCATAGCAATTGCTTTATTTGATGATGTGAGAACATGTTCTCACATCTCGAGTTTCCGAGGTGTGAGAACATGTTCTCACATCTCGAGTTTCCGAGGTGTGAGAACATGTTCTCACATCTCGAGTTTCCGAGGTGTGAGAACATCTTCCAAATAAGATTCAGGCAGGAATTAATGAAAACCGATGGAATAATCCATAAGACTGGATCATCCAAAATGGAACTGTTGATGGCTGTTCATTTTATTGCATAACAGCTGTGGTCTAGATGCCCAGGAAGTTGATCCAGGTGAGGTAACTGGGAAAACATTGACCTTATACATATCAGTAAGAGTCACCGGCATCCCTCTAGTGCTGAAGTCTCTAATGCAACTAGAATGAACTACGATACGGGTGGGGTTAGAACCCATGGGCCAGCTGACTACAATAAGATTCATCCAGCTAGATATATTTATACACCACAGGGAGGTTAGGATGGGCCACAATGGGGCCCGTGCTACCCTCCCTAATTTATTTTTAACTTAAATTAATTTAAAATTTCTTAAAAGCTGGTCAGTCTTTGTAAAAAGTTAGGATTGATTTTAACCTCCGAAGGTCCCGGTTCGCATTTTTGGACGAAATTGGAAAAAAATTGAAATTCTGACGCATGTGACTGGCTTTAAGATTTCCTTGCTCATGACGTGATAATGCAACTTATGAGTGGATTCAAACTAAACGTGGTTGTGCATTTTTGAACTTTTTCTCACTTTAAAAGGTTTAATTAGATTTGAACCGTATATATCCTATTTTACAATTTTAATGAAGAAATTTATATGTTAGCTTCGATGATGAATTAGGAATGTCACTTTTAATTCCCTTCAAATCTTCAGTGTTAATATATAACGGCATTAGCATCTTATGCCGCACTCTGCACTATTCCAATTGCGTGCAGTGAGGCACAAGGGACAGGGATTATGGAATACAGGGATACTTTCCTCGGGTCGCCCAGCGACCGAAATCCACTAGGTAATTTTAGCTACTAATGTATATATGTATATTGCTATTTTTAATTTCGGGTATTAAAATAATTATGTTTATTTTTTAATTTTTCATTGTTTTTCACCAATGTTTATAAAAACTTTAAACTATACAAAATGTATCAGCTAACTTAGTTTAATAATGGAGAGAGGTTGCTTAAGTTTAATGATGGAGAGAGGTTGCTTAAGTTTAATAATGGAGATAGAGGTTACTCAAGTTCTGAACTGTAATTGCGGATTCTGAAAATCAGTTTATTAAAATAAAGTACGTTTTATCAGTTTTAATTTTTTTAAAGCTTTAAATTAACAGTTTCATGTAACTGGAAATTATTCAGACTTTTATATTCTTAATTGATTTCTGATTATGTTTGTATCATATTACTAAATATGGAGAGAGATTCAGAAATTTAATATTTTCAAGTATTTTAATATGTAAACCTCAAGGGGATGCTGTTAATTAGTAATGAATAATAACATTGTCATCTTAGAGAAATTAAATTATTTAATTTTTAACCTCCAGTAGATCAGCTCCTCCCAAAGAACACAAACAGTCCCATTGGGACAAACCGATCATGGAAAAAATCGCAAACACAATGCTCTCCAACGCTTCAGGAAAGGACAAAGCTCATCTCCTGGCAGTGAAGGCACCACACTCAGGAAATTTCCTTTTAGCTGTTTCCAATTCCTCCCTGGGCACTCGACTCGACCCACAGGCCATTCGGATTGGTGTTGCTCTTCGCCTAGCCGCCCCCGTCCTCACCGAACATAGGTGTATTTGCGGCAGGGCAACGGCTGATCAATTTGGACTTCATGGTCTCATGTGCCACACAGCAGAAAGGAAGTATGCCATGCCAGACAAGAGGTGGTCAATGACAAAGAAAAGCCTCGCCACAGCCAGTTGCCCAGCTCAACAGGAACCCCAAATGTAGAGGTCTGACGGAAGTCAAAAGCGTCCTGATGGAGTCACTTGCTACCCTGGAAGGATGGGAAGCAGATTGCCTGGGAATACACCTGTGCTGCCACATTGGCAGACACCTACTTGCCATACTCCGAAGCTGAAGGGAGTGGAACTGCCAGCCACAGGGAGACCCAGAAGATCCGCAAATATGAAGACATTCCCCCTTGCTATAACTTCCTCCCAATAGGGTTGGAGACCCTTGGAGCATGGGGCAAGTGTGCTCTAAAGTTCCTCAAAGAGCTGGGTGAAGAGCTCGTCATAGAAACCAAGGACCACAGGGCGACCAGCTTCCTCTACTAGAGACTCAGTGTTGCGATCCAGAGAGGAAATGCCTGCAGCATTCTGGGCACGCGGCCCACCGCCGGGGAGCTGGACGAAGTATTCGAGATGTAGCTCTGAATTGTCATCTATGTTGTTTTACTTTCTATTGTATTTTTGTGAATGTTTTATCAATGTATTTTGTCTTTAAATAAAATATATATCATTATAGGGGATGGAAGGAGAAAATTCTCAAACAACTTCAGGGAGAACCTTAAGTTTTCCCTGAAGCAAGTTTATTCTTTTCTCCGGATGAGGGTCCCCACGACAGTTCTAGAAGTGGTACCTCCCTACATATATATATATATATATATATATATATATATTATATTATATATATATATATATATAAATATAAAATATATATATATATATATTATATTATATTAATATATATAATTATATTATATATATAATATATATATATTATATATATATATTAATATATATTTATATATATTATATATAGATTTATTATATATATATATATATATTATATTATTATATATATATATATATTTATATATATATATATTTTATTTATTATATATATATATTATATATATATATATATATATATATATATATATTATATATATATATATATATATATATATATTTATTATATATATATATATATATAATATATATATATAAATATATATATATATATATATATATATATATATATATATATATATATATATATATATGTATATATATATTTATTAATATATATATATATATTTTATTATATATATTTTTTTTTCAACAAGTCGGCCGTCTCCCACCGAGGCAGGGTGACCCAAAAAAGAAAGAAAATCCCCAAAAGGAAAATACTTTCATCATTCAACACTTTCACCACACTCACACATTATCACTGTTTTTGCAGAGGTGCTCAGAATACAACAGTTTAGAAGCATACACATATAAATATACACAACATATCCCTCCAAACTGTCAATATCCCAAACCCCTCCTTTAAAGTGCAGGCATTGTACTTCCCATTTCCAGGACTCAAGTCCGACTATATGAAAATAACCGGTTTCCCTGAATCCCTTCACTAAATATTACCCTGCTCACACTCCAACAGATCGTCAGGTCCCAAGTACCATTCGTCTCCATTCACTCCTATCTAACACGCTCACACACGCTTGCTGGAAGTCCAAGCCCCTTGCCCACAAAACCTCCTTTACCCCCTCTCTCCAACCCTTTCGAGGACGACCCCTACCCTGCCTTCCTTCCCCTATAGATTTATATGCTTTCCATGTCATTCTACTTTGATCCATTCTCTCTAAATGACCAAACCACCTCAACAACCCCTCTTCTGCCCTCTGACTAATACTCTTATTAACTCTACACCTTTTCCTAATTTCCACACTCCGAATTTTCTGCATAATATTTACACCACACATTGCCCTTAAACAGGACATCTCCACTGCCTCCAACCGTCTCCTCGCTGCCGCATTTACCACCCAAGCTTCACACCCATATAAGAGTGTTGGTACTACTATACTTTCATACATTCCCTTCTTTGCCTCCATAGATAACGTTTTTTGACTCCACATATACCTCAACGCACCACTCACCTTTTTTTCCCTCATCAATTCTATGATTAACCTCATCCTTCATAAATCCATCCGCCGACACGTCAACTCCCAAGTATCTGAAAACATTCACTTCTTCCATACTCCTCCTCCCCAATTTAATATCCAATTTTTCTTTATCTAAATCATTTGATACCCTCATCACCTTACTCTTTTCTATGTTCACTTTCAACTTTCTACCTTTACACACATTCCCAAACTCATCCACTAACCTTTGCAATTTTTCTTTAGAATCTCCCATAAGCACAGTATCATCAGCAAAAAGCAACAATGTCAATTCCCATTTTGAATTTGACTTCCCAAAATTTAATCCTACCCCTCTCCCGAACTCCCTAGCATTTACTTCCTTTACAACCCCATCTATAAATATATTAAACAACCATGGTGACATTACACATCCCTGTCTAAGACCTACTTTTACTGGGAAGTAGTCTCCCTCTCTTCTACACACCCTAACCTGTGCCTCACTATCCTCATAAAAACTCTTTACAGCATTTAATAACTTACCACCTATTCCATATACTTGCAACATCTGCCACATTGCTCCTCTATCCACTCTATCATATGCCTTTTCTAAATCCATAAATGCAATAAAAACTTCCCTACCTTTATCTAAATACTGTTCACATATATGCTTCAATGTAAACACTTGATCTACACATCCTCTACCCACTCTGAAACCTCCTTGCTCATCCGCAATCCTACATTCTGTCTTACCCCTAATTCTTTCAATTATAACCCTACCGTACACTTTTCCTGGTATACTCAGTAAACTTATTCCTCTATAATTTTTACAGTCTCCTTTGTCCCCTTTCCCTTTATATAAAGGGACTATACATGCTCTCCGCCAATCCCTAGGTACCTTCCCCTCTTTCATACATTTATTAAACAAAAGTACCAACCACTCCAACACTATATCCCCCCTGCTTTTAACATTTCTGTCATGATCCCATCAGTTCCAGCTGCTTTACCCCATTTCATTCTACGTAATGCCTCACGTACCTCCCCCACACTTACATTCTGCTCTTCTTCACTCCTAAAAGATGGTATACCTCCCTGACCAGTGCATGAAATTACTGCCTCTCTTTCTTCCTTAACATTTAAAAGTTCCTCAAAATATTCTCGCCATCTACCTAATACCTCCATCTCCCCATCTACTAACTCCCCTACTCTGTTTTTAACTGACAAATTCATACTTTCCCTAGGATTTCTTAGCTTGTTTAACTCACTCCAAAATTTTTTTCTTATTTTCATTAAAATTTCTTGACAGTGCCTCTCCCACTCTATCATCTGCTCTCCTTTTGCACTCTCTCACCACTCTCTTTACCTTTCTTTTACTCTCCATATACTCTGCTCTTCTTGTAACACTTCTGCTTTGTAAAAACCTCTCATAAGCTACCTTTTTCTCTTTTATCACACCCTTAACTTCATCATTCCACCAATCACTCCTCTTTCTTCCTGACCCCACCCTCCTATAACCACAAACTTCTGCCCCACATTCTAATACTGCATTTTTAAAACTATTCCAACCCTCTTCAACCCCCTCACTACTCATCTTTGCAATAGCCCACCTTTCTGCCAATAGTTGCTTATATCTCACCTGAACTTCCTCCTCCCTTAGCTTATACACTTTCACCTCCCTCTTACTTGTTGTTGCCACCTTCCTCTTTTCCCATCTACCTCTTACTCTAACTGTAGCTAAAACTAAATAATGATCCGATATATCAGTTGCCCCTCTATAAACATGTACATCCTGGAGCCTACCCATCAACCTTTTATCCACCAATACATAATCTAATAAACTACTTTCATTACGTGCTACATCATACCTTGTATATTTATTTATCCTCTTTTTCATAAAATATGTATTACTTATTACCAAATCTCTTTCTACACATAGCTCAATTAAAGGCTCCCCATTTACATTTACCCCTGGCACCCCAAATTTTACCTACTACTCCCTCTATAAACATTTTTACCCACTTTAGCATTGAAATCCCCAACCACCATTACTCTCACACTTGATTCAAAACTCCCCACGCATTCACTCAACATTTCCCAAAATCTCTCTCTCTCCTCTACACTTCTCTCTTCTCCAGGTTCAATACACGCTTATTATAACCCACTTTTCACATCCAATCTTTATTTTACTCCACATAATCCTTGAATTAATACATTTATAGTCCCTCTTTTTCCTGCCATAGCTTATCCTTCAACATTATTGCTACTCCTTCCTTAGCTCTAACTCTATTTGAAACCCCTGACCTAATCCCATTTATTCCTCTCCATTGAAACTCTCCCCCCTCCCTTCAGCTTTGTTTCACTTAAAGCCAGGACATCCAGTTTCTTCTCATTCATAACATCCACAATCATCTCTTCTTATCATTTGCACAACATCCACGCACATTCAGACTTCCCACTTTGACAATTTTCTTCTTCTTATTCTTTTTAGTAATCTTTACAGGAAAGGGGTTACTAGCCCATTGTTCCCGGCATTTTAGTTGACTTTTACAACACGCATGGCTTACGGAGGAAAGATTCTTATTCCACTTCCCCATGGATATATATATAATTATATATATATATATATATATATATATATATATATATATATA